TATAAATAGCATCTAGGACTAATGCAGCCACTACTATATTCTGCTATTGTTACACAGTGCTATTCTGACAGACAAACATGAAATCAGGCCTATTCTTCATCAGCAGAGTAAAAATAAGCTTGTCAACACACACAGATCCATAAAGCAAACTGATTTTGTTGAAGATGCCCTTATTTCTCTTTAAGCTTGATCCATCACCTACTGAAGACAATAAAAATCTTTCTATTGACTCACTTAAATGCTGGGCTGGACGATGTTAGCTACAGGAAAAGCAACATTTTCCTATCACCAAGTAACAGTACCTCTAATTCTTGCTTTATTTGCTGTTATAGTACTTGTGTATATCTTCTTTTTTTTTTTTCAAAAATTTAAAACAATAACTTTGAACATGCTATTCAGATTTGCTAGACAAGGAGTTTGAATGACCAAAGATGCTCAATTCAAAGTTGAAAATCTTCTTAAGCAAATAGGCAACCTAAAAAGTTTTTTTAAAAATAAAGACACATTGTGATTCTTATTTTACAGTGTGTCCTTAATCACCAGAACTTAAAATCATCATTAATACTTATCCTAGACAGGTTTAAGTGTTTTTAATTCCCGTTGTTTTGCCTATTATGTTTTAGTGATGAGAATCTAGCCTAAATAAGCATTCTACTAAAGCAAACAAAAGAACCTCAAATTCATTGTATGTTTGCATACTCTTCTCATTGTTTTCCCACTACAGAGTTACAGAAATTGTGTGTATTTCACCATTTTGTTATAGTATTTCTAAAAAAGAGAAAATGAGAACATGAGAGTTATCACTTACTATTCATGCAGTTACATGCACATCTACTCAGTGGCATAGTTCAACAGCTCTCTCCGCTAAAAGGCAGCTGGTGTGATTGCCATGGCCCCTCTTCCCTGTGTGACACATCTGCCTTTCTGGGGCCGTAACACACGACAAAAATTAATTGTCTTAGAAGAAAAAAAAAAAAAAGAGTAAAACGTTGCATTCCACAATCTGTTGAATGCAAACCATTCAAGCGAGTCCTGAAGGAGGTGAGGCCCCTGCTTGGAATTGGTACCACAGCCAAAAAGTGAAACTTTAATCCAATGACAGCCTGCTGCTTCCGGCTCGCCTGGCCTCCCGCCCGCTCCTGCTCCCGTCACGAGGCAGACCTGGCTTCCTCAGGACGCCGGGGGCTGCTCCGCACCCGCACTTAAACCACAGCGGCTGACAGGAACAGGGACGGCGACTTAAGGCCCGCTGATGAGGCCTGGGCGACGGCGGGAGCTCCCGGTCTCCCTCCGCGGGCGACCGTTAGGCAGCGGCGGCCGTTAACGCCCGGCGCGCGCCGCCAGCCTCAGGCGGCTCTAACGGCAACTCCCGGCCGGCTCCTCCCGAGATAGGGGGCAGCTTGTAACGAGGCCAGATGCATGCGTTTTTATTTATTTTTCCACACAACCAGCGTTAAGAAGGATCCGTCCCGCGCCTGCGGCTCTCACGCCCTCCCTTCAAAGCACGGACAGGCATCTTAAAGCGGCAGCCTCGCTCCTTCGTCCCGGGACTCGGGGAAGCGCGGCACGTGGTGCTTTCTCGCCGAGCTGCGCGTGTGGAGGAGCCGCCGGGGCGCCTGGGGTCGCCTCTTTCGGAGACGTTTTAAACCAGGGCGGGGGAAAGCGCAGCCCCGC